AATATTAAAGTATTAATTATCTCAAAAATACAAAAAATTCAAGATAAATTTGAAATAATGAAAAAAAAGGAAAAAAACTCACAAGGTGTAGATCGGAGATGAATGGTGAGGATGACCTTAAATGGCAAGATTCGGGCAAAAGTTGTTGGATTTCAAGAAAAAAATATGTGACAATACTAAAAATTTTAAAAAACATAAAGAGATTGATTATAAGCATCTAATGAACAAAAAAATGACCCTTACCTTTGTAGCCAGTAGGTAGACAATGGAGGAGAATTCTGGTGGAGCAAAGGGTGCAAAATGGGATGAAACTGAAAGAGATGAAATGGGAAACAATTAAAGGAATAAAGGAAGAAGAGGGGTCTGTAAAGAGAATCTACATACCCTTATCTAGACTAGCAATAATTTGAAGTCAGTTCAAAAAAAGCCAAAAAGCTACCCAACGTCATGTCAACCAGATATAGATTAAGGATAGCTTTCTAGAGCATAACCGATCTAGATATTGAAAATTATCCAGACTAAAGCTGGTTTGGAAAATTGTGGAACAAATAATGGCCTAAAATGGTTTTTTTAGACCAGTTTCAATCTGGAAATGGTAGAGAAAATTTGCATTAAAATATTATTTTAGGCAAACTTTTCCAAACCAATTCTGGTTCAGAAATATTTCAATTTATCTTTTTTTGCTTGTATTAAGTTAATTAAAAAAATTCTTTTGTAATTTAATTTTCAATAAAAGTATTAAAATCATTACTATTCTGAAAAAGTTTATCGCCTTATGGCACTGACAATATTCAAACCATTATGGGTCCAAATAAAATTTTCCCCAAAAACTAGCCACTCCTCCTGGTGAATAATTATTCAGATTAATTACAATCTAAACTTTTTTTTTTTTTTTTCAGACCAACATCAATCGGTCTGAATTATGCCAGTCTAAATATGGATTATTTCTAGTATTTGATGTTTATTGATCCTCCATGGTATTAAGTCAAAAGATATTTTTCAAGTAGTCTTAAATGGAGGTAGTGGATTTGGGAGTGCGTTTCCTTAACATCCATTTTGGTGCTTGTAAACAAAAGCTCGATTGAAGAGTTCAAAATTCAACAAGGTTTGCACCCAGGAGATCCTCTTTCCCCCTTCTTGTTCTTAATAACAACAAAGGGTTTGCACTCTCTAATTAAGGAATCAGTGAATAAAAGATTGATAAAAGAATTATCCATTAGTGCCCACATTCCCTTTCCTACTTACAATCTGCTGATGATAGATTTATACAAATTATGTTAAGGATGAAGACCAAAGCGAGAGGTGTGGCAATGAGGGATGGCAACAATACCAGGCGATGGCAATACAAAGGTCATAACAGGAGAAGAGTTGTAAGGATACATGGTCAATTTCGTGGATAGACAACAACATTCTTTTTCTATAATTTTCTAGATAAGTTTGAAGTAAGGGATTTGTGGCACAGTTTTCAAATGTATGGGAAGGTGGTAAATGTCTTTGTTCCGTAGAAGTGAGATAAGCAAGGGAGACGATTTGGTTTTGTTAGGTTGTCTGGGGTAGAAAATGCAGAGTGGATGGCAAAAAGGTTGAATGGGATCTAGATTGGATCTTATAAGATGATAGTGAAGGTGGCAGGTAAGGAACAGAGAACAAGGAGAGAAGGGAAAACGGTGAGGGATAGGAATGCAGTAGTGGCAATTAGAAGAGAGGATAAAATGGTACCACCAAGACAATCTTACGCACAGGTGGTAACAGGATCTACTAGGACCAAAAGGATTGTTGTGATAAAGCAATTAAAGGAAAAGGAGGGAACATAACAAGATACACTGGATGATGCCTTAAGGAATAGGGCTCAACTGAATGAGAAAGAAGATGTGGCCTTATGCATGAGGGATAAAATGGATGATCAATACAATGAAATGAGTTCTATTGAATTCTCACCTAGAGAGGAGGAGATAACATGGCTTCACGGGAGTATGGTAGCAACGGTGAAATCAGTACCCGAGATTACCAATATACAGGAGCTGTTGCATGTAGATGGAGGATTGATTACGATCTCCCCACTCAGTGGTCAAGAGTACTATTAGTTAGGGGTGGGCAAAAATCGGGAAATTGTAATTTCCAGTCGGTATGTACCGAGCTTTCGGGAATCGGTAACAGGACATGTACCGATAGGAACAATAAACCGGTATAAAAATGATACCGATTAATATTTTGGG